CTCCGGCTCAGACATCGGGGGTCCGTTCCCAGCTGCCCCACAGGTAGCCTGTGGCGACGGTTCAGGTTTGGCGGTTGGTGTCGCTGGACCCAGTAGCGCCGCGGCAACGGCTCGGCTGTTCCCCCCCGCCGCGCCAGCCACCCGGCCCACGGGTGGCGCCCGGCCCATGACCTGCTCGTGGGCTTGGATGGTCCGGGCAGCCCACAGCGAGGTGCGTTCCCCCGGCGTCACCACGGGCATTACAACGCCGGCGCGGCAAGCGTAGGCGATGAGGTGCTCGACCACGAGGTCCTCGAGCGCTTCTTCAGCCAGGCGAGGGAAAGCTCTCCTCGCCAACACGAGCAGCGCACCCCTGTAGGCTAAAGGGGATTCTTTAGCCCCTCGCTGGCGATCCTGGAACCGTTTAAAGGCTCCTTCCGCCGGGCAATAGATCTCCCCCAAAGCCTCGTAGGCCGCCTGTAGCGTGGACTTGCTGTGCGAGGGAAGGGAGGTGTAAGAGGAGAGTGCTTCTTCGCCCAGAACGGATGGCAGCGCTCGTAGTGCCTCTTCGTCTGTCCACTCGAGAGCGTGGAAGGCAGCCTCGAATCGGCGGACAAACCCCTCCCAATCTTCTTCCTCAGCCACGAACTTGTCGACGGGCCCCAGCCGATGCGGCCGTCCTGCCACCTGCTCTCCGTGTTGGGTGTTTAGCCCTGGGGGTTTTGGCGGGAGCGGCGGCGGCTGGCGTGACGAGGTTGGTTGCGGCTCCTGCCCGGCTGGCTGGTCAGCCTCCGGGTCCCGTGGCCTCTCCTCCCGTAGTATGCGTGGTGGGCCCCCCATAGGGAGCCTCTGCAGTAGCTCCTGGAGTGCCCTCTCCACGCGGGCCATGCGGTTCTCCATGGGGTCCTCCAGGTGATCCGGGCCCCCTGCTGCTGCTTCTGATAGCAGGCCCCCTTGTTTTCTGGGATGGGAAGGATCCCCGGCCTCTGCTTCCTCTTCCCTTGGCTCTTTTCCGCGGGGATTCTTCTTTGTAGCCATTGTAATCCCACCGCTGCCACCAGATGTAAAGGAGAGCGTACACAAGATTGCAGGGGTCTCGTCCTTTAATCCTTTTCTTCCATCCACACCTGTCCCCAGCCGTCCCAATATCGTTCCCGCCAAAGGCCCCCTCTTCCCGCCCGTTCTCTCCTTATATCTCCTCGATCACCCCTCCCACTAACCCACCTATTGGTGGGAATCCTTCCCCTGACACCCCTACATATGTCTGATGTGAGCTAATATCATTCGTTAATATCTCTGAGTGCAGTTTCCACAGTACCTTCATGTCATAGGAACACATATGCGTGTTCCCTGCCATGTCCGTAATGCTGATGCTCAGAGTTGTGTTGCAGCAGTCTCCGGAATAAGTTTCATTCCACACATTGACACCAATGGTGCCATTCATGAGGCCAGGAGGATCAATCGCTTTAATTCCGGATCCCGTGTCATTACAACGGATTGTTATGTTCCAGAAATTTGATCGGCACTTGGCATACTCAGTCGTGTACCTGCATTTGTTTTTCACCAAAGTTTCGCATAGAGGCCACGCATCATCATTGTACTGTGTTGATACAAAAACAAATGTGAATGTTCTGATTTGAACCTGAGCAAAAATAAATTCATATTTGGTATGTGTAAAATGTTGCTCTCATTATAGCATATACACAATCGTATAACACCAAAATCTCACCCATCGCGGATTTAACCATTTGCACCCTATTTATTGAGGTAGTGTATAGTTCGCCTAGGCCTCGGCAAGGTAAGGTAAAAGTTAAAAGGTAAAAACTACGAGCCTACCTTTACCCTACCTTTTACCTTACCACAATACAATCACTCTACCATACCTTTCCCCTTTAGCAAGTATAGGTAAAAGGTAAAAAGCAACGAGCCTACCTTTTACCCTACCTTTTACCCTTACCCCATACAAATTACCCGATTACAGGGTAATTACTAGGGAACTACACATGAACAAAGTTTATAATGGTAAATGCTAGGTAGAGCGCTTTATTCATATAGAATACTCTCGATTATTCCAATTTTACATGTTTGGTGTCGTTATCATTGTTGTTGTTGTCGTTGTTGTCATTGTTGTCGTCGTCGTTGTTGTATCCTCAAATCTTGTAACTCAATTTTTACCCACTTCCTAATGTGGTATCGACTGCAAACTTGGTATACTTATTTCATACTGATGACAATACTATATTCTATCATTAAAAATCTATATTTTTAAACATTATTTTGTATATGTTATGTTTCGGCTTGGGTCTAATTGTCCACGCTCAACTGACGTTGGCTGTAATTGGCCACGGTCCCTTACGTTATGGCAAGCTTCGGGGCCACTTCCTGGAGTCGTGGAGTTCTGCCATTAATAGTAAATTTAATAAAAGCGTGATTTTAAAAACGTTTTTAAAAATTTTATTCATTGAATGAAGGCCACGGACAGCGCCACGGAGCTTTTAGTGGTAAACTAGGTACTGTATTTACCGGGTAATACTTCGCGCTACCTTTACCCTACCGGGTAATTCTTCTGAGCTACCTTTACCCTACCCTTTACCTTACCCCTTGGCATGTCGACACCTTTACCCTTTACCTTTACCCTTTTACCCGGTAAAAAGGGTAAATTACCTTACCTTGCCGAGGCCTAAGTTCGCCAATCGCACCGCTGTGGCTCAATCATTCGCGGTTGACCGCGGTATTCCTGTATGCATTGTAAAGAAGTATTGTACAGGCATTCTAACTGCACACTGCTTGTAATTGTAATATGAGGATATATCCGGCTCACTGACGTATCACAACTCGTCATGGTGATTGGCTCTGCCGGTCCTGGTTTACAGCCAATGGGGGGAAGCCTGGGGGCATGGCCCTGACATGATGGAAAGGTGACAGCTATAAGGATTGGTTCTGCTGGCTTTGGCCACAGCCAATGGGGAGATGAGTCAGGGGCCTGGTCCCGGGAGATGACGAGGGAGCCTGGAAGATTCCATGCAGGCTAACGAGGATTGGCGGAAACGTACCACGTGACCCAGGTATTAAATAGGGGTGGAGACGAACGACTTGTGGTCAGAACGGGAACGAACAGAGGGGGAAGGCCATGCAGGAGCGGGTCTCCGAGTTGCCACGTGGCAGTGCGTCTCTCTCTCTATATCGGTCCCTTCACGCTGCCTAGCAAGTAGCGTGGAGTAACTGTAAGATAAGTTGAATAAAAGACGAATTCCCGAAGTTGCCTCAACGAGCTTTATTACAATGGTGTCAGAAGTATCTTCTGAGACCGTTTGGACGATCCTTCAAGATGTCCAAGCACCTCAGGAAGAAGAACCCACCGGACCCTCCGTCGGAGTAAGAAGTTGAGGCGGACAAGGACGAACTGCTGGGAGCTGCGGGTCCTCTGCCTCCGGCTGCTGCTCTCCTCGACGCCGCTCATCGCCGACAGGCTGGAGAAGCGACGGCCTCGACGGCGGACGAGGGATGGCGGCTAATGGTGGAGCAGATCGAGTCGCTCCGCGCGATTTTTCTGAATCTGGTGACGGCGGTCGCATCTTCAGCGGCCCTTGGTCGGCCACGTGGGTTTCAGCCGAGTGCCGATGACCAGGAATTTCAGCGGGAATCGACATCCGCCATTGCTCCTGCCGCGCGGGGAGAGGCCTCCATCCTGGGCGAGGCGGCTGCGATGGAGCCGCTGGACGCCATCTTGGGAGGGGCTGCTGCAAGGCGGCCGCTGGACGCCATCTTGGGCGGGGTTGTCGCCACGCGGCCGCCGGACGCCATTTTGATGGAGCCGCGAAGAACGCGGGAAGCGGGAATGGAGATGCTCGAGGCGTCGGACATTCACCACGGACATCGCCTTCCTCAAATCAAGGAATTTATCGCCTGGGGCGATTGGAGTGCCTTCACGTGGCGCTTCGAGTCGGCCTTTAGATCCGTTCGATTATATTGAACACTGTACAAAGTATTAGCAATATTTTACATAAAAAATGTGAAACCAAATATAAAACCAAACCCTAGTTTTCGCATTTGTCTTTAAGTTTGTCGATCGCGGATTTGCCAATTGTGGCTATTTTCAAAACGTAATTCGCGATTGACAAGAGTTTGGTGTACTAATAATATGGTATAACGTTTCAGGCATTGGAGTTTTTAATTGTTTGAGTTTGAAATTGTATAACAGTCATAAGCATTTCAGGTGATGTACAAAACCCCTGGTTCATATTTTTCTGGTTACCCTTCTTGGTCATTGAAAAACGTTTTATTTACCATCTATCTCTCTTGTCAAATGGCAAATAAAGGTTGCATGACGTTCACTGGACCTACAAATATGGAATGCTAAACTTAAATCACTTCGACTAATCTCCCATTCATAGTATTATTGGCGTATCTCATTTTCGTCACAGTATTTTATAGGCATGAATCACATCTTGCCAATACAGTTTGCACTCTTGAACACTGTATTTTTATGCATCTGACAAAAATGCAGGACTTTTGATATATTGGGAAGACTTGCATATTTATCAGGGAATCTACCTCAAAGAGGATGATAATGAGAAAACCAAGACAGGTGGCAAACATACTTGCATTCAGGGGATCTATTGGCAATGCCTGGTAATAAAATTGAGTTTGGTCAATATGCATTAACCTATAAGCACTAAAATGGAGTGAATGAAAGCCATAAAAAACGCAATAAAATAAAAAACCACAAGTGTTGAGGGAATTAAACCAACTGACATAAACACTGAGTAAAAGAAAGCACTGGGTAGGAGGGAGAGTAAAACGTGGAGCCTTAAAATAAAATACCGGGCATAAATCGCTCGGGAAAACATTGTGCATGGGAGTACAATGTACTCATGTGCTCTAACACGACAGCCACGTGGTCCACGTAAGTGCCGACGGAGGCTTTGCTGAATTATTTTATATCTTTTTTCGCGTCGGCCTCACTAAATGCAAAACGCAGCTTGGCCGGGTTTGGGGATTTTACTATACAGTATTATTACCTTTAGAATTTCTGCTTGAGTAACTATGAAGTTGGACGTGGAGTTTGCTCCCTGCACTACCAGTGAAATTGTACCAAAAATTCCGATTCCCATGGCGGAATTGGCTTCCAGCTTCAGCGTTAAAATCACAGAGCTGTTCCTGCTGATGTTGAATCTGCACAAGCACCAACCAATCCAAGTTTATAAATATAACAATTTTTTTGACACAGTGACAAACTTAAACATATTTGAAAAACAGTTACACAAAGATTACTCATTATAGTAATAATTTCTAACCCTTTTTGAATCCACTGAAAGTTAATAAGTGGCGTGTATTGACGTGGATTTCCATAAAGCATTTGATTCGACAAAGCAAGATATAACGTGGGCAACAGTAACAGCATATGGAGTAGGGTAAAGACTGCTATAGATTTTGCAGGATGTAGGTGAAAGGTCAAATGAATCCCAACAACAATAGGTATGTAAGAGAGAGATGCACTATCACCAAACCACTTCGTCACATACTGGGGAAGAGTGATGGATGCCATTCAGAAGAACAGCTCATGAACATTTGTGCAAGGAAAAAGAATAAATAACCTGAGATTCGCGAACAACATAGATCTGATGGAAGAACGATGTGTTGTACTGCAGGAAAGTGTTCATAAGCTAAATAAGTCAGGAAAAGATGTAGGTCTGAGGATTAACGTGGAAAAGACGAAGATGATGGTGTTCAGAAGGGAGGACATTAAGAGAGAAGGAATAATAAAAAGCAGCAGTATTGTGAATGGTAAGGCATTTGTATACTCTTTGGTTCTTTCGATAAAGTCACGTAGGTATAAAATAAAAACAATCACGACGTTTCGGGTGCAACACAAGCGTCTGTCATCAGGTGGGAAAGCATGATCTGCTGCTGAGGCAGACTGTTTTAAAAAGTTTGAAATGGGTGTAGCCCAAGGGTCATAACGAAGTGGGCGTGGCTAGTGATGTTAATGTGAGAAATTAGCATGTAACTGTAAGAACGGAGAGCGACCTCCTCGACGAGGGCACGGAATTGGCTATGTTAACGTGAGAGATTAGCATGTTAATGTAAGATCGAAGAGTGGTGCAATCCTAAGGCATGAGAGTGCAATTCAAAGGACATGTTAGCATGAGAGATCTGCATCTATGAGATGCTGTTCTGTTTTCTTTTAACAATTGCTATAGGAGTGCGAGAAAATTATGGATACCTGTTTGAAGGGAAAATTGTTACAATGAAGCCAGCGTCTGCACTGGCTGTAGCTTCGAATGTGTCGGCATCACCAGAGTTGGTGACGGAGATGTTGAGATAGGCCGGAGTGCCATTGATAAGTTTGGGGTAGAGCTCTTGTGAAACAATCTGTGGAAGGCAATTCCATAACAAATTAACGATTTTGTATGGTTCTATAAGACCAGGGGTGGCAATTTTTTCATTAATTATTATATATATATTTAAATATCAAAGTAGGATAGTAATGGGGAACTTAAAATAATCAAAAGCATCAATTTGGAGAATATAAATAACAATAAGCAGATAATGTATCATTTATATCTTACACAACCCATCAACCACACGGCCTTCTGGGAGTGCATAATTTCAGGAGAATTGCTTTATGTAAAGCAAACTCTTCATTGGTTTCGACATGCAGCTTCTCATCAATAGTCAGGCTTGATGGAATCAATGCTGGTGAACTTCCGATCGTATAGGCTATCTTCATGATATGAGTCCAAGTTCGACAAAATATAATATAATACATAACTAAAAATAATAATCACCGTTGTTGTGTATAATATACTTAAAATACATAAGCAGACAATCTATTTATATATAAGGAAAATTTGTGACAATGTGTGTCTGTTCAAAATGTTAAGCATACTTCCCGACATGCAACAAACTTGAAATTTGCCATGCGGGTACCTTCCAGACTGTACACCATGCAAAAATTATAAAAATAGACTTTTGTAAAAAAAAAAAATTGGGGGGGGGGGGCACATTAATGCATATTTTTTGCACGGCAAGTGAGCTGTGACGTCACATCTGTCGTGCTTAGCGCGCTGCGCTACAAACCCGGCGACCCGAGTTCGATTCCCGCTCACGGCCACCACCAGTGACGATTATTTTAACCTGTTCTGGGCCTCTCCTAGGTCGACTCAGCCTCCAATGAGTAACTGGTGTGGTGTGTGAACATCGCCACTGGGGGGACAAAGGCGGCCGGGCGTGGTGAATCCAAGTCCCGGGTGAAGCCGGGTAGTAAAGCTAGTGTCTCTATATATTTTTCTCTCCACAACCAAAATAACACTTTATTACACAACTCATGAGACGATTCAAGCAAGCTGGTAAGACTCTGTATGTCGAAACTGGTGCAGAGTTTGCTTGTACAGTATTTGAATAAATGCTGCTGTAATTTTACACTGGAAGAAGACCATGTGGCTGATGGGTTGTGCAAGACATACTTTACATTTTATGTAGAGATAGAGACATAGGAATAAGTTATTGTCTGCCTGATTATTTTGTTGCAGTAATGGACATTTCATTCAAAGTGTACAGAAAGCTTAGAAATTAAAGAGCAAACATAAAGAAATGGGCCAAGAAATCATAAGAGAAGCCAACGATAGGAAATTACCTGCAGTGTTATCGTGGTGACATGAGAAACTGTCGGAAATACTCGGCCAAAGGTATTATTTTTCGAATCCTTCCCGCTGACATACACACAGAACTGCTCCTCTGGAAGGGAATCAATCTTTCCAATATAGCCTCCTGGGCTGGTGTCGTAGAGTGGGATTATTTGAAGAGGTCGACCATCAGGTGATAGCAGCGTCAACGTCTCAGCAATAGCACTGCTGGTGTCTTCGTCTGTAATGGTGACTTCCACCAAGAGCGGTACGCCTGCAAACCCATCATGATCATCATCAAACATCAACATTCCACATTACCAACCGACCAGAAACTGGCCATCACTTTCTGTGGCAAAGAGGTCAAGCACGAGAAGTACCCGAAATACCTCGGTGTAACTCTCGACAAAAGCCTCACCTTCCACAAACACCTTCAGAATATTGTTGTTAAAACAAATTCACGAGTTCATCTCGTGTGTAAATTGGCCGGAACATAGGGAGCAAACGCATTGACACTACAGACAGCCACCACAGCATTCGTCTTCTCTGAGGCAGAATATTGCGCCCCAGTCTAGAACCAAAGCGTACACACGAAGTTGGTGGATACACATGTAAATGAGGATTATCTCAGGGATGCTAAAGAGCACACCGCTCTTTAGCATCCCTGTGATGCCGCGTGAGTGAGAGAGTACTGTGAGGTCATTAGAAATACAAACCTCCAAATAAACAAGCACATCTTCATGCCACCACTGCACATGCTCAAATCCAGGAAACCATTCTGGAAATATGCAAGGAACATCCATGACAAAGACAAGACCACCTAAGCGTGATGGAGGGAAGCCTGGGCAAACACCAACCTGCTGCAAAAATCCATCCTCAGCGACCCTACAATCCTCCAACCAGGATCTGACCTACTGAGGAAGAGGTGGTCCTCTTTCAATCGGACCCGGATACTACGTGAACGATGTGGACACTTTCTCCATGAATGGGAAATTAAAGAGAATCCAGTTTGTGACTGTGGTGCAACATCACAGACCGTGCAATATATCGTGAACGATTGCCCAATCAGATTATTCAACGGAGATCTGAAACAAATCTACTCGAGTACTCCTGAAGCAGTTGAATGGATCTAGTTCTCGACATCAATTCGTAATCTGATAATTGTTTTGTTACCCTTTTATCTGGCAATACAACTGACACCGTTTTTACAAGGAGTCATGTTGTGTTTTTTTTTTATTCCGACCGCAGGTATTGTGGTCAATGCAAACATGACTCCTTGTAAAAAAGGTGTCAGTTTGTTGCCAGATAAAAGGGTAAAACAAACAATTATCATATTTTGCTACTGGCAAAGGAGGTTCCAATGGTGTAAATTCGTAATCTGTTGCAATCCCCAAAAATGCTATAGGAAAGAGGAAGACCCACCATTACCCATCACTCACAAACTGCTATTTATCACTCAACTTTACACCACAATTACCACGCCATTCCCATCATCACTTACCATCACCAAAGCTCACCACTACTCACTATCATCCATCACGTACCAACCACCACTCATTATTGAACTCGAGACTACCACTACTACATATTATCGCTCACGATCACTAACCAACACTCACAATTACTCACCATTGCTCATCAACTGCAGCACATCATGACGGTCAAATATCGCGCGTTTTCAGATGCGCATCTGCGGCCCTCTGGAATGCTCTTCCTTCCGATGCTAGGAAGCAATTGGAGCTATCCACTTTTAAATCTATATTGAAAACTCTTTTTTTTAACTGCTCTTTGTGTTTAGTTTGTTGTCCATTCCCCGCACCTTCGATTAGCTCGGTTGGCTATGTATGGTGCAAAATAAGTAAAAAATACATACATCATTCAACCACAAACCACCATCATCAATCATAATCACTAACCATTACCAACCAAGATTCACCACTTATCACTCAGGACCACAATACCACCCACTACGGTACCACCATCATCGTTATATTTACTGTACACTTAAAAAATATATTTACATATAAATGTTTTTTAAAATATATTTTACAAGGGGTTATTTTTTATAACAGCTAGAAAATTTTAGACATTGAGCATATTTTTGTAAGTAAATTACTCTATTGGAAAATACCCTGCGGTGTTCCCTCAACACATTACCATCCCAGAGTTATTCATTTGTAATGGAATCAAACTCACTGTACTCATTGGATCCAATGGATTAACTACTCAGCGGACTAAAGTGATGCAGGCAACTGGCAGTGTTGTGCTCTACGAGTGGTGGTGTAAGGACCTGTCAAGTTGGTAAGAGACGAGCAGTAAGTAGCCTATATGATAGAGCCGGGATTGGCTCACCTTCTTCGACGGTCAGAATTTGGGACAGGTGCATGACACTGTCAAGCAAAGAAAATAACTTGCAATATATGAACGTAAGCATGCAACGATGTGTCATGGCCAAACAACGATATCATGGGTGTGAGTTTTCCAAGAACAGTTATGGAACAGAAATTTATACTAATAATAGCGATTTCGTGCACAGAAGCAATTCCAAGGTGGAACCCATGCTCGAACCTGTGATTGAAGTCGTACATGAACCCATCCTCTTCCCCGTGCTTGAACCCATGCCCATAACCGCAAATGTGACCCTAACCCTAGCCCTAATTCTGACCGTAACTGGATTCGTGGGTTCAAGCATGGATTCGAGGTGTTGTGTTTCTTTGTAACCGATACAATGATTAGCATGCAGCCATCAAGGAATCACCGCTCTCCATTGGTGATAGTTTCTAGAAAATAGTTTTTCATTTGCAAAATTTTCCATTTGCATGTCTAGTGGCATAGCGCTGGCTGCCAGCAGAAAAGGGGATCTGCAGAGTACGGCAATCCTGACGACAGCAGGCCAGGATATACACGAGAGGGGGATCTAGGGGAAAGGTCACAGAAGGGGCCCATCAGGAACCCACTAGTAGGTTCCAGAAAGGGAGCGTGGCCGGCGCAGAGTGAGGCCACGCTGGCAGTATAAGAGCTGCCCCTGTGGGGGACCTCGGGGCTGTTGTTGAAGTGGGATCCCCATTGTGCTGTTGAAGTCCATCATCGCCATTCTTCTCGTCGTCTTCACCATTCTTCTCGTTGTCGTCTCTGTTTCTATCGTCTCGGGGCGCCACTAGCCAAATAGCCTACCAACTGTCCTGGCTGAGTAGCGTCGCCGATAATAGATGGACTAAATATTAAGTGTGTTAATCCCGATGGTGCTCATTAATAAAGAAGTGCCTCCAAGTCTTATCGTCTCCGAGTTAGTCACTACACATGCATGCCACGTCCTTAATCAGTGGTCTCATTCCATCACGCCACAGCACCGATAAAAAAATATCATTTGCATTCATGTGCAGCATCAGTGTGCCGACTGGCGGCCGTAAGGGCCAATTACAGGTCGGAGGACAGCACAACCTACAGAACAGAGTCATACGTGAGTGACCACAAGAAAGGGAAAACTAGGCCAAGGGTCAAAGAGGGGATCTATCTGGAAGCTCCCAGAACCGCGGGAGAGTTCGAGTAGAGGGGCATGGCCAGGGCCAGGGCATGGCCGCGCTTGGGGGACATAAGGTGGAGTGGAACGGAGTTCTGGGCGCCGTGGGATTCGGGGTCCTCGGCGTCGTCGCTGTCATCATCGTTGTCGCTGTTGTTTCTTCCTCGTCGTTGTCGTCGCTATGTAGCTATCTCGCAAAATCGTTAGACATCGTTGTCGCTATATAGTTAACCAGCTGTATAGTTAGACATCGCCATTGTCGCTGTATAGTCAGCCAGCAATATAGTCAGTACTAATTAACAGTGACTGTGTCATTAAAGTCGTGGCTGTACGCCGACGATAAATAAATAAGAAGCCCTCTACAGTTCGTTTCTCTGAAGTCATTACGTTACACATGTAGGGTGCACAATGCAGAAGTCCCATCTCTAAGTCTTCTTGGTTCTTTCGGTAAGAAAGAACCAAGAAGATTAATCCCTGCAGTCACGAAAGCTTTAAATCGAAATTTCTCATCTATAAGGTTTAGGTGTACAGTATACTGTACAAGTGCCTACACACACACACCCACCAGGCGCATTTAGGTTCAGGGCTGCTTCTCAAGACAAGAAGGCGACGTGGTAGAGCATGCCCATCACCACTAAAACCTAAAAAATTCGGTAAAGAACTAGTTTTTCAATGCACATACTTTTATTTGCACTCAAATGTAGAAAATACATAATTTGACCCCAGAACATCATATTGTGTTAATTCTGGGCTAAAAAACCTTATATTCTACTTTTCATTGCAAATACAAATGTTTGCATTGAAAAATAATATTTTACCAAATTTTTTACGTTTTAATCTCATTGTAATTTACTTTATTGAGACTTTAACGGAAATTCTGGTCATTTTCATACAGTCGGTGTATGCAATGAGATAAAAATAGCATTAATATCTCTATATATATCCAAATTGAATATCAGATTTAATGGTAATTCGTTGAATTCTTTGAATTCCAAGATCTCTAAATTCGATTACATATAAATAATTTCAACCCTATAATTGATAACATTTGATTTTTAAAACATTTAAAAATTAACCTTGTAAATGTAATTGTTACGTATATTTTAAGTGTTTTTACACAATTTAATTGTAAAATAATTTGGATATGTACATATTTATTCTAATATGAATCCAGACAATAACAAAAGTTCATTATTGTCTGGATAATTATAATATATTGGAAAATGTGCAATAAAAAATAACAAAAAAACACAAAGAGGCCCAGGATCGGCGGGACCTGGACTGGTCCTTGAATTGTCACGCGATACGAGTCTGTGTACACAATTTCAGCTTGTTAGGCTTCGTAGATTCAAAGATATTAAGCGTCAAATATTTGAAAGAATATTAACAGACAACAGCCACTCCTTTTCCCTGCCTAAATGGACTATCTGGCATAACATGCCCTAATATCACGAGGAAAGTAGCAAGTGACCAAGACCAGCAAATTATTGAGTGGGATGCTCGTCATCCGCTACATGGCCATCAGCCAGCACACCATCGTCTCTCATCGAGAAACAACTTCTTGTGCTCCACTGTATCACTGATCACATCACCAGAATCTCCCATAACTTCCCTCTGACAAAAATAATGAGAAAATCAAGCGACAAAGCTGCTAAATGGAGCCGGCAAGGAATCACCCTCAGTGAGAAGCTAAGATCTGGCTCCAATTTCAAATGGCTCGCATAGGGGAGCCTAAACAGGGCTGAGAGTGGGTTTCAGCAGATGCAACTCTCTCATGAAAGCCATGGGGATTCTGCACATAAGAACAATGTGCTTGTCAGGAGAAGCAAACCATAGACCATCTCCTGAGATGCTCTGCAGCACCACAATGCACTCCTCAAGATTTGACAATGCCAAAACCAAAAGCAGTGGCCGATGAAGAAAATCAGACAACAGGGCAAGTTAAATAACAGTTTGTAAAAACTTTTTTTTATTATACCAAATAAGGCACACAGAGCTATATAGCTACTTTTCAGAAGTGATCAGGCTACAAATGATAGCTCAACGAAGTGGTTTAGGGGCCGTCCATAAATGACGTCACGCGATTTTGGACGATTTTCGGACCCCCCCCTCCCCTTCGTCACACATCGTCACAAATGTCTGACCCCCCCCCCCCAGATGTGTGACGTATATTATGGACGGCCCCTTATCACGTGGAAAATTAGATCAGCCAAATACTCTAAACGCTTGTTGATTCTAAATGTGAAGGGAAAAACTGGAGTACCCAGAGAAAAATCCACGTGACCACGAGGAGAACATGCAAACTCCAAATATACAGGCGTTAGCGTTGGGATCGAACCCAATTCCGCCTGTATATCAGGCGAGGCAGTTAACATGTCCCCACCACAGCACACCAACACATCAAGAATTACAGTTAATAATATCACTCTGATAGGGACTGCAGGCAGCCCGAGAAGTGATGGAGACTCGAGTTGGAAGTATCTGAATAGAGTCGTTTTGTGCTTTTTTATGATTAGTCGTGGTCTCATGTTTATGAAGACGTATTGTTGAGTTCATGCAACTGACCTGCTGATGGTCTATTTGTGATAACCCTAATGCCAGGGTGCGGTCCAACATCATCTTCAACTCCAAACTTGTAGATGAAATTCAAAGAGCTTTGTCCTGAAAGTATGAGCAAATCACATGTAGTATTGTAGACATATTGACATTGATAATTTCGCCTACACAAACAATCAGAGCAAGTGCCATTAGCGAGTACCTGCAAAGGTGCAATAAGGGGGCGGTGTGGTTCGCATCATGCCCAGCCGCCTTTTTTTCCCATTGCTGATGTTTGCAGACTGAACTATGAAACTCATCTAACGCTGCGTTGACAATCTATATACACACACGAAGATCTCTCACACAGCCGTAATAGAAGGTTAGAGCCAGTGTTGTTCAGAAATAAGGGTTGAGGAAGGAAGGGGAGGCCCAAGACTGGTTTAAATATCACTTGCCATGATGTTTGGGAATCGAACCCAGGTCCCTGAATTCATAGAGCATTGCACTAACTACTAGACCACTATTTCACCACTGGCCTATGACAAACACACAGGAGTTCATCATTGTGAACTGTTGGAGTAATTGCTGTTAGCAAACATTTATGTAAAAAAGGCATGACACATGACGAGATATGTTTAGTTTTTTTAGGTAAAGTCATGTAGGTAAAAAATAAAAGTTTTTGCCTCTTATTATCGCCGGCTTGTTGCGGGGTTCGCGTCAATTGCTAAATCTCTCCACGCCCTAATGGCCGAGGGCCAGAAATTTCATTGGGGGGAGGCAGAGAAGGCTGCGTTCCGCTCCATTCGCGATGGCCTTGTTAATGCTCCTCCCCTACGTTATCCCGAACTTTCACTGCCGTTCATCTTGGACACGGATGCCAGTCATACTGGCATTGGGGCCGTGTTATCTCATATTGTTAATGGTGTGGAGCACGTGGTTGCGTATGGCAGCAGGGTGCTGTCTCCGGCGGAGCAGTGGTGCTGCGTTACGTGCCGGGAACTGTTGGCCATTGTCGTGTTCGTGCAGCAGTATCGGCACTTGAAGTGCGCTCGGATTTGCATATCCCTGCGGTTCTTGCTACTTACAGGGTGACCCCGTACACGTCCGATGTACAGTTGCAGGCCGTGCCCGCCCCGAAGGTGTCAAAAATTTCCGATATGATTCGATTGACAATGGGTAAACTTTCTGAGGCGCCGGAAGCTGACAGTGTCAATTCTTGGGCCAGGCAGCTGACCAACGAGCGATTGGTTGCCGGGCGACAAGGCTTGGTTGCATTGTCCGCAGGTGCCAGTGGGCACGTCACCTAAATTTCTGCAACCTTGGAGAGGGCCGGTTTATGTCGTTCGGGTCTTGAGGCCCCAATGTGTCCAAGTTCGGTTTGGTAAATGGAGCTGGTTCGTGCACCCCTCTCGCCAGAAACCTTTCATCACGCCGTGCGAGTTTGTTTCATCTCAATATGGAAGGGGCCGAGTGTCGGGTGTGCCCAACGAGCTGGGGCGAGCATCTGCCGACACGGGTCCTCAGGAGAGTGTATCTGTTCCACACCCAGGCGCCGCACAACTGATACCTCACACGCGGCCGCTCGTATCAGCCTCACGTGCTCGGAAGGCCAAGGACACGGCGACCCGGCCTACTGCTCTGCGTAAGGAGCCGGCTTCGTCGGGTGTATTTCTTGCCCCCCTCGGCCCTCCCAAGGCGGTCGAGCCCAATCCGTCTGGAGGACCGGCGTTACGGACTCGTTCAAAAACTCGATTTGCATGATCCCGCACAATGCACACTCCCACACCATCTTGGGCTGTCGCGCTCGCGTGAGTCATGGCCAGTATTTGGCTGATCCTGCTCACCATCAAGCTCACGAGCGTTGTTACACATTGAAGGTGGGAGATGTGCGCCGCGGCTGTCGGGTAGACCGGGTGTTTTTTTGTCTTGCTATCATGTGTATATTTTGTACAGTTAGGTTTGGTCATTTATTGTTGCCTTGTTATGTTGTTGGAGCACACTTATTGGTTGTTATGTTAAGTTACATCGGTTGCTTGCTTTAGGGGGAGTTAGCAGCCGGGACAGCTGGAAGCTACGTAGGGGGGGGCGGGTGATGTAGTGACTGTACTTGTCACTGTATGGTGCCGGGACTTGCGAAGTCTCGGCCGGTGATGTTGTCATTGCGGGCAGCCCAGGTTGTAGGCTGCAGTACCAACACTAGCGGTGGTGTAGTGAGTGCTGGTTAGCGTGGAGGCAGTGTGCGGTGCCGACTCCCAGTGAGGGAGCGAGAGTGAGCGTCGTGCCAGCCAGGGTTACTCTGGGGCATAATGCTCTGGCTGACCTGTTGTCACATGACCGGACAATACTGGAGGGGGGCCACCGGTGGACGGGAGCCGAGGGGCGGTCACGTGGTCTCGGAGAACTCTCGGGAATTTTCGAGAAGGAGCTCGAGGAGCCTGGAAGGTGGGCGTGGCTAAGGGCAGAACCAGCCCCAGCCCAGGAGCATATAACGAGAGCTCCGTGAGGAGCTCGGAGTTCTTCAAATGTTGGTGTTCAAAGATCCACGTCGGGGAGAAGAAGCCTCTAGCCACGCGGTTCGGGACCCAGCTTGTGGTCCGGACCGTGTTTACTTGTGCCGTAGCGTGGTTAGATGGGAATTCGAGACCCGAGCGTAGGTTGCATTATGTTACGTACTGCTGTGTTAAATAGTGTTGCTCCCGTGATAACGTTTGTGACTCAGTTGGACTCACTAAACATGCTTTGACAACAGAAGTGCATATTGAATGTGGTGGTACCTGCTATGATTACAGCAGTGCATATTGTGGTGGTACCTGGTATGATTACAGCAGTGCATACTGACTGTGGTGGTACCTGGTATGATTACAGCAGTGCATACTGACTGTGGTGGTACCTGCTTTCACTACAGCAGTGCAAACTGATTGTGGTGGTGGCTGTTATGACTAGAGCAGTGCACACCGACTTTGGTACCTGCTTTCACTACAGCAGTGCATACTGACTGTGTTGGTTCCTGCTTTGATTACAGCAGTGCATACCGACGTTGGTGGTACCTGCTTTTGCTACAACAGTGCATAGCGACAGTGGTGGTACCTGCTATGATTACAGCAGTGCATACTGATTGTGGTGGTACGTTCTATCACAACAGTAGTACATGCTGACTCTATAGCAGTATATATCGACTGTATAGCACAAACCACGAACCTGACAGAGGGGCATGGTGAGGCCTAGTCCCGTGTAGAGCCCCTGGCCTTGCCTATATTGCCCAGCCGGTAGGCTGGGGGCGGGGCCGCTACCCCCCCCCCCCACATCCCCCCGGCCACGCAACAATAATACTATCTAAGCACTATATTAATTTGGACGAACTCTATAGTAGTGACTGTACGCACCGGGGTGGGGGGGGGGGGGAGAAGAGGACATCACACAGTGAAGAATGTACCTCAGCGTTGTGTGTTTTTTTGTAGCTTTTTTAACGCAAAAGAAAATTTCCCCCTCACCCCTACCGAACGCATGTGACTTGGCATGGTCTGTCCCCCCCCTCCCCCCCTCCAAAAAAATGCACTAAATCGCTCATTTTACTAATTTAAAGGTGAGGGACGTGAAAAACGAATAGTGCTTGCCAACCACGTGGCTTAGGGCGTGGTACCTGGCAATTTTTTTGAAGTGAACTTCACTGTTTGAGAGCCAAATTCCTCGCAAGCGCGTGAACACACACAGACAGACAGACAAAAAATGATATTTATATATAAGATTTCAGACGGGACTAGGGCTACTTGGCTGGTATTTAGGCTACATTACAAAAAACATTTAGTGCCTTGACCCTTCGGTCTATACTTAATAGAAGTCTAGTATCATTGCATGTTTTCCTTTCTTAGTCGTCTCTGTCTTATTTTCCTGTTTGGTCTAGCTGTTCAGATTGTTATTTGCTTCTTACTTTGTGTATTTCTTATTTCAAATCATTTACTCATATATAATTTCTTACACTGATATTTTGCTATATTTTTAAGAATTAAATATTTTTTTTTATTCTAGGTGATGCTTCCCTCTCCAGTCTTCCACTATATGCAAGAAAAGTAAACTTTTGCTGATGAAACTCGCACTAATTTCAGTGTGGACAATCCATGTGACAAATTCCTTATCCAATGCTTCTATCGCACCATGGATCAACTTATTCTGGAGATGGAAAAATGGTGAAATGCATATGCCAGATTGAATGATTGATTCAGTTTCCTTGTAGATAGATTACTGTCCGCAGAAGATATTGTTGTGTGGGCCAATGCATTGGTTGTTGCATATCCAGCAGATCTTGAAAAAGCATTCACTTATGAATTCCTGTTTGTGCATTTGTATGCAGAGAAAAAAACAATGGCAGATATGCTCAAAGTCCAAATATCTGACAATCGGATCAGGAGCTTTCCAAATGTTTGCATTGCTCTAAGGATTTATCTTGCCATCTTGGGAACAAATTATGAAGGGGAGCATTATTTTTCGAAGCTAAAGCTGATAAAAAAAACTGTCTCCCATAAACCATAGGACAACACTTGTCTTCCCTTGCACTGCTCTCTATTGAGAATGAGATTGTGCGAAAAACACCATTTGAAGATATTATTGCAAATTTTGCCATGAAAAAAACCTCAAAAAACTAATCTATGATGTACATTTCTCTCACCTTAAAAATATACATACATATGACTGCCTCTTTGTATATACACTGTGCCTATCCTGGGTATATAAATATATTTATTGAAGATATCTTGGTTAAATTTTTTTTTATCATACAAACAAAAAAACATGTTAATATTTTTCAAAGGCCCTAGGCAGTGCCTTCTCTGCCTATTGGATAATACGGCCCTGAACTGATGGCATGTAGTTGATGAGTCAGAATGGTTTAGAGCTCCTTTAGTACGTGAATGAATCTGGAGTAGAGGTTAAACCGGACATAGCTGATTCAGATTGGGGAAGAGGGGCCTCTGGGAAGAGCGTATTGGGTGTACAGGTTTACACAATCTCCCTTAAATGATGGCGAGAGTGGGAATAATTCACTCAAACGTTTAAAAGTGTCTGCTTCCCAGTTTGTGTCCTCACTGTTGGGCATACTGTCAGTATCCCACACCCTAACCTACACAGGTGAAACCATTTTTAATCCATCCCAGGGGCTCACTCCAAGATGTGAGGCAACCCAAGTACAGACAGTTCCCGCTTTTAGGACACAATGCCTTCCTGGAAACCCCATCGTAAATCAGACCCTATTTTCCTATTAACAGTGGAAACAGTAGAAACATCACTTGCCGAAGTGTTTTTCCTTTTATCAGCCATATTTAACAGGATTTTAAAGGTAAAAAGCCACAAAAATACTTTAGAATAGCATAATCTCTGGGCCAATTCACATCAGAAACCAGACTGACTCTGTTCATGTGTTCGGAGTCATGTCAGATGATGCTTTGTAAATCAAATTTCTGTCGTAAATCGGTCCATGGTGGCATAAAAACGTCGTAAATGTTGATCGTTAATCAGATCATTATATATTTGTCAATATGTCATGCATGTAACTAGGTGTATGCAAATATTTCCACGCACAACCACACATGTCATGTAAAAGCATGATATATTTTTTTCCGTTACCGATGATACGTAAACTGGAAAGTCCCTCTGACGTGATTTGAATTTGCCAAATTCCAGTCAGTTTTGGCTCCCTCAATTGCATGATGAAGTAGTTTCCATATATTTGCGTCGATAAAAGGGTGGTATTTCCTGCAACAGCATCATCCCTTGTACCTGACGGAACAAAAATATTAACACATTCACACGCACCACACAAATATTGATTAGATTATTTGGTCTTGATTTTAAGGTTTCGTGATTGCAGGAATCCATACTCTTTGGTTCTTTCGGTAAAGGCACGTAGGTATAAAATAAAATAAATAATGACGTTTCGGGCACAAAACAAGCGTCCATCATCAGGTGGGAAAGCATGATCTGCTGCTGAGGCAGACTGTTTTAAAAGGTTTGAAATGGGTGTAGCCCAAGGATCCCTATTCACCAATGTACCTGTACCTGACACCATTGCAATCATTGAAGACTTGGTCCAACAAGGACTGAATCCAGATGTACCAACTTTTGTCAGGCACTGCCTGACTGCCTTACCAAAACATACTTCACCTGGAATGGTACAGTCTACAAACAAAATGAGGGTAACCCAATGGGTTCTCCCTTATCGCCAGTGGTAGCTAATGATTTCATTAAGAAATTTGAGACAGATGCCATCCAGACATCCACCCTACATCCTTTCTTGTGGAAGAGATATGTGGATGACACGTTCGTCATCTCGCCACATGGCCTGCCAGCACTGAACCAATTTCTCAACCACATCAATTCCATACACACATCTGTCAAATTCACCATGGAAGTGGAAAAGGATGGAAAGCTACCATTCCTGGATGTTTTGATTGAGAAGAGACCTGATGGCTCTTTGGGACATTCGGTCTACATGAAAGCCACCCACAAGGATGCCTATCTAAAGCCTGACTCCCAGCCCAGAAGAATTCCCTCATCAAAACACTACACCATAGGGCCCAGCCCGTTGCATCTCCGACAAGCACCACCTAGCCAGTAAGTTGGAGCACGTACACCAAGCCCTCAGGATGAATCGATACTCGGACCGTACAATCCGCAAAAGCTGTCTCCCCAGCCATGTGGAGACAACCCTCTGAGGATCCAAGCAAAACCATCACTTTACTGTACATAGCAGGGGTTACCAAAAAGATTTCCAAAATCTTACACAAACACAAGATCCAGGTTCGTTTCAACACAGTACACAAAATCTGTGATTTAATCCCATCTGTAAAGGATGTGATTCCTGACATGCAATACCCTAGTGTCTACAAACTGAGTTGTGGTTGAGGTAGCAGTTACATTGGGGAAGCGAAACGACATGTCTCGGACCGCGTTCATGAACACAAGGCAGATCTGAAACACGGTAAGACCAATACCTCTGCCGTTGCTGATCATTGTTTTAACGCTGTGGGCTCACACGAAATAGATTTTTCTAAGACGGAGGTACTTTGCAAACCTACCGGCTACCTTCAGGGATTTGTTCATGAAGCCATCCAGATATATAAACACAGACACAACTTCAATCGAGAAGATGGGTACAAACTGAGCAATCATTGGAAGGACGTTATTAACCAGGTAAAGTCTTAACTGACTGTGATGTTTCCATCCTACCTGCCTATGTCAGCTGTTATTTCCGACTCTGTGTGTCTCTCTCTATGCCTCTCTCTTATATCTCTCATGCTCACATGTCCTTTGGATTGCACTCTCATGCCTTTGGATTGCACTCTCATGCTCACATGCCCTTTGGATTGCACCCTTTGGGTTGCACTCTCATGCCTTTGGATTGCAACACTCTTCGATTTTACTTTAACATGCTAATCTCTCACATTACCGCAGCCAATTCCATGCCCTCGTCGAGGAGGCTGCTTTGGATTGCACCACTTTTCGATTTCACATTAACATGCTAATCTCTCACATTAACATCACTAACCCCGCCCACCTCTTTATGACCCTTGGGCTACACCCATTTCAAACCTTTTAAATTAGTCTGCCTCTGCAGCAAATCATGCTTTCCCACCTGATGACGGACGCTTGTGTTGCACCCAAAACGCCGTGATTTATTTTATTTTATACCTACGTGACTTTAGCGAAAGTACCAAAGAGTATAGATTATTTGCGTATAGCACATTTTAAAACCAGATGCAAGCCAAGCAAGGCAGCCATTCATTATGCATTGGGTTGCTTTTCCGACTACCTTTAGGATGATTGATGGGTTAATTTAATTTCCTCATAAACTCTAAATGCAAAAAGTATTTATTCATCAGCCTGCACTCACTGTTTCAGAGTCACTCAATTTTAGCCAATTGTTCTTATATACTTTATTTAAATGTAATTTATTTATTTTCAGTGATTTGTGCACCTTTCCATTATTTTGCAACCTATCCATGTTTGTATTGGTTTATGTAACAGTCTGACCTGCCCCTATTGGACATATGTGAAAAAGAGATTCATATCTCATCGGATTCCTCCAGTCTAAATAAATATTCTGATTCAATTGCAATTCAGAATATTTCTTGTCACTGCAGATTGACTGTATCTCCTCATCCATATTTAATTAAATCACCATAATTAAGGATGCAACATTTGTTTCTCCTTCTAACCTCATCCTGCTTGCTCAACTTTTGATTTCACTCACATAATGTCGTCCCCCATATTCCTATAACCTTCATCAATTCAAGAAACATGATAGTATCTGCTTTACTAACATTATCACTCTCTGGCTAACCCATTTGCATCTTAGGCCTTAGGCCTGTGCCCAGCAACTTTGATTTAAAACAGCATACCTACATGGTGTGCCCCAAACTGTCTGGGATGAATTTGCAATCTTGTAAATGAGTAAACTTCTACATCACAGACACAGTAGATCACTCCCATACGTTTTAATACACCAATGCAAGATGACATCATCAACTGTGATGCCAATAACCACAACGTTAACGGGTTTTCTGCATTACCAAACCTTTGAACTTGTGTAGGACAGCAAGGGATGTCTAGCTTAGGTGTGTCTACTACAAAAGCTGCTTGTTTTTGAGTTGTGCCTTCCTTGAAGCCTTTAATTTAGTGGAGGCAAAAATGACAAGTCTACTTAGTCTCAAAGATGATCTGCAACACACACACACATATCTCACCAATGTACAACCACTGTTTAATTTTCCCAAAGTAAGAATGTATCGACCAGAGAAGGGTGATGGGCCAAGTTAGCCTACTAATTGTGAGTTAAGCATTCTGCAATGCATGGTAAGACAATCTGGATGTACACTTTATAAGTCTATAGTTGAAATAGTATTTTCGTACAATTGTATCCTGATTCTACTATTGGCATCATGTCGTAAGATGAAGTATTTATTCTGATTTCTCGCAGACCAGTGCAACTATTCATGTTATAAAGAACAGCCCACAGAAGATAATGCAAAGCTACCTCTGATACCATTTCCAGTAACCACTGTCCTACACATTAGGAGGCAGCACTTCCCCACCCTTAGGTTAATATGTATCACGTGACAGTAAAACCGATCTTTTATTTGGTCTCTGAGCTGATTTTTTTGACAACCAACCAATTTTATTATATGGGGGGAGGGGGGTGTAGACAGGAGTGACCAGGCTGTGAACGTCAGCTCTCTACACTTGAGAAACTGGTTTATTCACAGGCGGCTGCCTGCATTTCAAGCCATAATTTAGGCAGTGCTCAGACTTCTGAGCCACCTGACCACCTGCAGAGAACGTATAATCTTGATTTGAAGCTTTCATGACTGCAGGAATCCATACTCGTTGGCTCTTTCGGTAAAGTCACGTATGTAGAATAATAATAAAATATCACTACATTTCGATCGCCACACAAGCAATGAAGACGATTGCTTGTGTGGCGATCGTAACGTTGTGATCTATTATTTTATTTCTACATACGTGACTTTACCGAAAGAACCAAAGAGTATAGAAAGTATACTTTTAAAGCAAGAAAAGCAATCACAAAATGCAAACAGCTCCTATCTGGTAGTTACACACTAAGACTGTGTCCAATGCTGTTCCACCTAAGAGAAGCATTGTTAGACAGGCTTAAACAGACTCAAATGTTACAGTAAAGCAATAATGTTAGTATGGCACTCCAGTGACATCACTCCAATATAACTCATAAATGGTGTAATACGGTAAAAATCCATCCTCTAATAATCCGTGAATCCTAAAATTCGTGACGTCCTGGCAACTCCCGTTTTTCATGCGGCATTTTTTTGTGGGCATATGTTATAAGGAGACTGGGAGGGGGCAGTTGATGGGTCTAATTTGACCAAGTGTTCTTAGGTGTAAGGCAAAAGATACCTAAATACAGCCCTGATTTTATATAATTTGGTTTTCATTCATTGGGTAAACTTAATGAGGTTAAAAGTGACTAGGTCACTCATGCAATGCACTTTTATTAAGGGTTGTAATTTTATAGAAGAATTACCCCGTCCATTGGACGGGCTGGTTACCAGCATGTATAATTAAAGAAAACGTATGATGCAAACTACTGCAATCCATTACTACAATAAAGTAAGCAATGATTGACGTACCTGACGGATCTGAAATTGTAATGTTGGTCAATGTGTAGAGGGCCCCTGTATAGAAAATTACAATGTTGCTTGTGGAACTGTCAACTGGAAATCTTAAGACGGTGCTCTTGGTTGTATCAACATCACGAACATTTAAAATGTTAACCTGAAATGGCGAAACACAAATTAGTTAAGCATTCATTTGGTTACATTGTACAAACTATGGTGGAGTAGTAGTGCAAGTCACTATTAACTCAGCAGTACCTAGTTCAATTTCTGGCCATGGCAAACAGTGACGATTCATATTTGAAAGGGTCCTGGATATTCCCCACCTTTTTAGCAGTCTGCAATGACCAGCGTGGTGAAGTATGCTCAAACAACCCCATCGCCCCACTTGGTGTAGGTAGGCCTTCATCCACCAGTGCGTTGGTAAAGTAATGCAAATTCGCATTGCCACTCCATTATTAAACTGTTACATAACACAAAATTACTTTTGTATTAATAAACTGAAATGTACATGAGAAAGCTATCATTGGATAATCATGTTGTGAATAGCTTCCCTCAGTCCAAATCATGACTGCCGTACAGATAGAGCAAATTCGTTCACTTAATGCTCATATTTGAGAGAATGTGGCATCGCAGAATCATAAGGGGCGACAATGGTGAGGCAATGATTTCGCGCATCAATGCGATGATAAATGATGGCTAATTATGGTAATTATTAACTTATCAACTTGAAATTGACAATACAATTAAAGTACTTGTGTATTTTAATCAGTTAATTTGGTATACGATTCAGTGCGTACTCCCTACTATGACGTATGGTCATTAAAAAAGACATGGGACAAAAAAATAACTGTGCAAAGGAGCCTGGAATGATGCATGCTTTGGAAATGCATTAAGTCAGAAATAAGAACATGTGCATTAGAGAACACATGCAGGTTAGTAACATTCAAATTATAATGAAAAGTAAATGGGCTTGTATAGGACTAGTCACTTAGCAGGGGTGATGGCCGATAGTCAAGAATGGTGATCGAATGGCAGCCAAGGAATGTAGCACATCTGTGTTGACATCCAAATAAGCCCCATGGAATTGGTATGTGCGTTTGTACAAGGGTGTTGTTGCGTCATGGGATTGCGAGATTCGGCGTGGGTCGTGCAGGGCTTCATCCAGCAGCGGATTGCCCATTGCTATGAATGATGAAGTGACATTATTTATATTTGAAATTTCGAACTGTAATAAATGTCGTTATTCACCTGCTGTGCCTTGCTAAGGTCGCCGATTACGACCATCAGAGACTGAAATTCCGAACTCGTGGGATGGAAAGCCAAACCCCCAGAGCTAAATGCGATTTCGTCGTAATAGGAAAGTGCATTTATGCTTCTTCGTTTGCGCTTGAAGTTTCCCTGATTGTCAAAGAAGCGTCTGGAACTTGGAGTTCTCACGACCACAACGTTCACCTGGAAATGTTGCAAAAATATATAGTTGTTAAAATAAAAGAATACACTATATGATGTGTAGATTAAGGTATAGAAGCAGCATCAGGATCGCGCAAGCTTATGGAATATATTCTTGGAATGTAATAGCACTTGCAAAAACTACGCTTATTGTAATGAACAATATTTGGTTCCTGTGATTTAGTTTTTGTTTGCACGTAATTTGTATTGTTTGTATTGTTTTAAATGTTTTGTAATTTGTGCCCAATTTTATACCAATTGTGCTGTTTGTTTCATCATACAATTACTTATTCAGATATCTTAGAAGCATAGAAAAGTGTTACAGACTATCTAAAAGAAGCAGTTACCTCTTAGATACCTCCAGATTACCTGGTCTACATAGAACAGGACTTTCCCACTTGCTGTGCTATATGATAATGTCTATGGCATGCAAATTCAGGGGATGTACATATTTTTCATATCAGATTTCCTATTTAGATTCAACACCGTTAAAGCCTTCATGATGTCAACATTTGTATGCATATATTTCAAAACAAAAGACTTTTGAAGCACCAAAATGAGCAAATTGTGGCTTTTGGACATTTCTAATTATATGCATGGTCTGGCCTAAAGTTGAGTGAATTTCAGATTTCTAGACCTTCTAAATTTTAGAACATAATTTTAATTTATAGCAATCACTTACTTAATCACAATCGTATATGCTGTATATGAAGCAAGTCCAGTGCATTGAAGGTTCTTACTTTGCATTTCTTTTTCTCTGCAATTGCAGCTGCTTGTAGCTGTAGATCCTTGTCTTTTGCAGATGCATCCGTGAAGATGAATATCTCTGACTGTGGCTCAATGGCGCTCAGGCATAGCTTAATAAAACACAACGCCAAGGCATTACATATGTGCTCAACCTCTACACATTTTTTTAGGATGTTTGACAAATTCACATTATCAAACTTCAGGCACAAATCAAGGCATAGTCGTCTATGTTGACACTCCTTTAAAAAAATATATCAACTTCCCCAGTGTTATACGCATTTTACTATCGATGTCAAGTCAGGGGATGAAGCAACCATTCCGATCATGCGAAGATCAGTGCATGCCTTCATATTCAAAAATGGCTTACAGAAGTGGTCCTTTCATCAAGTGACATCTGGTCCACACGAGGAGGCAGCACTTTGCCATCCACCCTGCTAATTCTTAAAGCTGGAACTTAGTCGAATTAAATTCAGAACCAAGATACATTTAATGGGGTTATTTATCCGATCCTTATTGACTTGGATAATCTATTCTTGGCAATACTCTTGACGATTCAGAGTAATCATTGACTGTTGCCCTTATTGGAACCCAGGTTCTCAGTGGTGCCAGTTCGGTTCTCTTGCTCAACGTCTGAACAAACCAATCACCTCGGAAAAAATCCCATGAAGCCACTACACATTTTGACAGTTTTGGAAAGTAAACAATGATTGGTTTACATAGGACACAGCCCTGCAGTCACGTGACCCCTGTGTGTGATCTGATTGGAAGTTGCCATCCCAGTTCCACACGGGGGGCTACAGCGATTGGATTTGTCCCCATTTGGGCATGTACATGTTTTGCAATAAAAAATTGTGCAACAACTGTTGTCAGTGACAATTACCATGAAATTACAGTGGTTTTTAAAAGCAACAGAGCACCCGTAACTTTGGTGAAAAAACCCAGAAGCAACACCACAATCACTGCACGTCTCTCTTTAATATTTCTCTCTCAACTAAATCCCACACAATCTATTTCGTCCCCTCCCTCCATGCCAGAATAGTTAAAAATACAGAGTTGCCACTGCCAATCTTAATTGATCTTGGGGCCCATGGGGAAAGTTAATGGGCATTTTTATGTAAGTAGTATGATTATGCACAGGGAAAGGGTTCATTTGGTTAAAGTTACAAGTTGGCTAAAGCACTAGTTATTCGGGGTGGGGGAGTGGATAGCGGAGGCATCTCTTTAATTGTATAGTTTGCACCCCACTACAATTTCTCCCTAAGCAATCAACTTGTTGTATAACATATTTGATATTTACTATTAAAGCAGAAAAAAACATCTCCGGCTCATCATCTCCATAGTGGAGATATAATCCTGAAAGCCAGCTTTTGAACTGGTTTGCACTTTTAGAGACAAAAACTGGGCCGAAATCTAGAAGCAAACAAAAAACATACATTAAAAATACACAAAAATTATTAATAACAGTGCACATACACAAATATTTCAATTTAGCTTTAAAGACTGGAGGGGCAGGTGCCATTAGCAGTCAGCTATTGAGGCTGCAAGGGCAAGCCTTGTAGAGGAATCAAATTGTATGGTGTTGCCAGGATCACAAAGCAGTGCATTATTTGCTATGCCATATATTTAGTCGGCAGTCGAGTGACGACTCAAATGTTCAGGCACTCATCTCGAAAGTTCAGGCATTCTGAATGGGTTCCATGCTGCCAGGCAGTTTGCATGCAACTTTCAGGCATGAACCAGATATTTTGAGCTCTCCCAGAGCATTCTGAAGCATTCCAAATTATGTTCCTGAGTTGTATGCAGCGTAAGCAATAGTTTGTATGAATTATAAGGTTGTTTGATAGTTTGATTTGCGAATGCTGTTTAAAATGTTTTGCTCTTCGCCCTGATCTTAATGTGATGGAATAACTCAGATTACATCCCCACATACTGCTGGCTGGACAGAGGCCACGGGATTTAAGAAACTTGCACCTTTGTTTCAACCTGCCACATCAATAGAATGAACCAGCCACCCCTGAATTTCCCGTCCTGTGTTCTACCCATTACGCAATGGAAGAATCAATAGTCAAGTTCCCGAACAAAATTGAGATTCCCTTTAATGGACTGATTTTTTTGCTTGTTCAATATTATTAGACTGGTGAAGTGTGATAATGCAGTAATGAATGTGACGTGTTACTCTCGGCTCTGAGATGATAAATTCAAAATGTTATACATTTCTCATGCATTTTATATTATTCAAAACAAATCTACGAGCATTCCAATAAAATTTTCCTGAAGACAATGAGCGATAAAAAAAATATTTGTAAATATAATAGAATGCTGAAGAAATTTCATACTCACCCGGGTCATTAAAGGGTACAAGCATAAACAGGGTAGGTAGCTCCCCGTTAATGGCACGCTCGTCAATAATCCTGGCGATTTCCATTCGAACATCATCAATGTAGGGTTCCATGCTGCCAGTGGTGTCAATTACAAACCCGATTGATGTTGTTTGCTCAAATCCCATATACCTATACAACAAGAAGCAAACAGCAATTAGATACATTTTGTGTGTGCTGACTAGTACCGGCGATGTAAAAATCATTCTTTGTGGAGGTGGCTCATGAAAGACACTACTGGGCAGTTAGAGGCAATTGCCCTCCAACAACAGCAGAGGGTAGAGAAGCGACTCCGGGTAGCTAAAAAACAAGTTGGCACATTGGGGAGCACAGTTGGTACATCTGTCAGTCATCTCAGTCGACACATGGCACCTGGATCTCTCCCGTGACCTGCTAGCAAGCCTTCAACACTTTACGTGGCCTCAAAGTGCAGCTAGTCTGGCACAAGCGATGTGGTGATGTCACCACCACTTCGTGGCTTTAGATATGTGGTGGCCTCAAGGGGGCCACCACGGTGCATATGTAGTAGCGTTCACGACTCTTGGACGCCGGAGTTGGAGGCACACGGGTTTATTTAACACAGCACGTTCGTGGCATACAACACTACAGGGGGTATCGGCCCCCTCACCCGACTAGCTGAGGATACACGTCCTAGCTACTCCTAGCCTGCCTCCTAGTCCTCCACTAACGGGCTAGGGGAGGCTATCTGGCCCGACACTGGTAAGTCGGGCCCGGTACCCGGAGTTCCAGACCAGCTCTTACAAGAGCACCGGCTCTGGCTCTCGGGACCACGCCGCTGGCTCGGTCCTGTTCGGCCCTGATAAGGACGGCAAACCAGGGGAGTCCAGGGCTCTATCTAAGACGTCTTCAGTCTTCACTGGTTAGCTTAACATTTTTCCCTTAGCCCTCCGACACATCCCCTTTTATACCCAACCCCCTCGCTGAGGGGTGGGGCCCCGGGGGATCATAACTCCGAGCCAGCCCCCCAGGGTGCCTGACGCGGACGTCGTAGAGAGCACCTCCCCGTGCACTCACGTAGCCCCGCCCCACTGTGTTTGTTTGCCATAAGCTCCCATGCATAACGGGCTCTCTCTAACACCCCTACATCACCCCCCCCCCCCCCCCGCATAGCTTGCAGCCGTCCCGGCTGCCAAACACGAAAAAAAATAATGACAATAAAAGTGCACTCACCCCCAGACCGCGCGTGTGCCTCACAATTTTTCAACAATAACAAGAACAACAACAAGAACAACAACAAGAACATAACAGCAAGAAGAGAAAATAACCCGACGCACCCCCCCCCCCCCGAATAAATACGAATTCCGTAAAAGCAGCCTATATACAATTTGCAGGGAACCCACCACACACAACACATAGTGAACACATTATATGTACATCCAATGAGCAGGGAACACACCACTCAAACAACACACAATGAACACAATATATGTACATATCTTCTGGCCTCACAACAGTCTGCGCATTTTTGCGCGCGTCCTTGCAGCGGGCCCATCACACGGGGTAACCCCGGGTGGCGGACCGTCAGGTGGTAACTGTCCGTCTCGGAGTGAGTCCTCATCCGATGCCGCGTGACCCTTGGCATCCCCAGGAGGGGTGATCGGGCGCGAGCCCGTCACTCTTGATGCACCTGGAGGTGGCACAGCCGGCAAGACATTAGGTGAGCACAACGGAGACGGACCCAGTGAGTCGGTCGACCCCCCACATTTTTGGCCACGCGTGTGTGAAGTGGGAATGTGTACCGCAACGAAGGGTTTTAATCTGGAGGGGTGCACAAACCACCGCCGCTTCCCCCATTTGATGCGCACGCACTGCGGTCGCAAAACCTCGACCACCTCCACAGGGCCCCGCCACGGCCGCACCAGTTTAGAGGAGGTTGCAAGTGGCACCTGAGGACAGTGCAGCCATGCCTTGTCCCCCGGCTTCTACTGCAGCACGTGCGCCCGACCCAGTCTGAGCCTCTCATTCGCTTTCTGACGGAGGGCAGAATTTTGCATGGCAGCATCCCGTGCCTCTGTTAATGTTGCCAGATTAAATTTAACATGGTCAGCCAATTTTGTTTTACCCTGCAGCGCGGGGATCTGCAGCTGGGCCCGAACAGGCGGGTGAGGTTTGCGGCCGTACATGAGGAAGAAGGGGGAAAATCCCGTAGCTGCATGGAGGGCCATTCGGTATGCTGCCAAGACCCCTTGAATTTGCAGGTCCCAATCGGTCTGTGAGTCCGAAACCTGCTGTGACAACATCGACGTGATGGATCGATGCAGACGCTCGACCATCCCGTCAGTTTGCGGGTGATACGGGGAGGTACGAATTTTCTTCGTGCCCAGGAGCTCACAGACTTGTTGGAGTAGTTTGCCGGAAAAATGTTTGCCCTGGTCGGTCAGCAGCCGCTCCGGAGCACCTTTGTCCAGGACGTATCCCTGGACAAAGGCCTCCACAATGGCTGCTGCCGACTGGTTGGCAAGGGGCCAGGCCATAGGCCAGCGCGTAAAATACTCCACACCGGTCAACAAATATCTATTGCCCCTGGGGGTGGCGGGGAATGGGCCCAAAATATCCAGCGCGACAAGCTCGTTTACTCTGGACACTTTGATCGATTGCAAAGGTGGGTTAGACTCCCGTGCTGGCGGTTTCCGTTGCGCACACCGAGGGCATGACCCCAACAAATCGCCGACATCCCTCGTCATGCCTGGCCAAAAAAAATCAAGTTGGAGCAAGGCGAGGGTCTTTTGGGTCCCCAGGTGGAGGAGGCGCTCATGAGCGGCCCACACCACCTTGCCCCGCAACCCAGAAGGGACCACCAGCCGGTGTCGATGGGATCTCCCGTCCCAATGCATTAGCAGGCCTTGGACCATTTCCCATGAGTCGGCATCACCCCTCCCCCGCCCAGCACCGCCGATGCGACGACGCAACGCGAGGAGGGAGGTATCCTCCATCTGGAGGCGCCCCCATTCAGTGACGGGCAACCCCAACAGGGAATCTCTTCCCTGTTGTGCTATCGAATTTGTAAGCAATGTTGCGTCGTCGGCGGCCGCCAAGACCGGAACAGATATGTCCCCCGGAGGCCTGCAACATCCCGACCCCAGGAGGCATGCACATTCGGAGGTGGTTGGCATGCGCGACAGGGCGTCCGCGTTGGTATGGCGAACACCCTTACGGTAGGTGGTTTCAAAATCAAAGTCCTGGAGAATCTCCAACCATCGAGACAATTGTCCCGATGGTTGTTGAACTCGCAGGGCGTACTGTAGTGCCGCATGATCTGTGCGGACGGTGAAATGCCGACCGTACAGATATGGGCGATACTGTTGGATGAAGTAGACAATTGCCAACAGTTCCCGGCGGGTGACACAATATCTTTGCTCCGCTGGAGACAACACCCGACTACCGTACGCGACCACCCGTTCCACGCCGTCAACCACCTGGGAAAGCACGCCCCCAATACCCGTATTGCTCGCATCGGTGTCGAGCAAAAAGGGTTTTGAAAAATCGGGGTAAACCAAGGGAGGAGCTTTAACCAGAGGGTCCCGAAGGGAGCGGAAAGCAGCCTCCTCTTCCTGTCCCCAATGGAACCGAACCCCTTTGGACGTCAAAGCGTGTAGGGGTTTCGCAATCGTCGCAAAATCCGCGACAAACCGTCGGTAATATGACGCAAATCCAATGAAACTCCTGACCTCTCCCACCGAGGTGGGAGTCGGCCAGGAGCTGACGCACTGCGTTTTGGCGGGATCGGTAGCAATACCTGAGTGTCCGACGATGTGTCCCAAATAACGCACAGATTCACATAACAGATGACATTTTTGGGGTTTAAATTTCAAATTAGCAGCCCGCATTTTGAGAAAAACCGCCCGCAACCTCTGGAGATGTTCGTCAAATGTTTTACTAAAGACGATAACGTCATCCAAATAAATGAAGCACGAGTCCCATTGCAATCCAGCCAAAACCAATTCCATCAATCGCTGGAAAGTTGCCGGCGCTGAGTGGAGTCCCATCGGCAACCGGTTGAATTGGAACAGGCCGTGCGGTGTACGGAATGCAGTTTTAGGCTTTGAATCATCGTCCAGAGGAAGCTGCCAGAATCCCGAAAGTAAATCCAACGTGGAGAAGAATCGCGCTCCCGCCAAGGCGTCAAGCGATTCGTCCATCCGTGGGAGCGGGTATGCGTCGGCAACCAAAATTTTGTTAAGGCGACGAAAATCGACGCAAAACCGCAACGAACCGCCCTGTTTCTTAACTAGAACGATCGGCGCTCCCCAAGGGCTGGTGGAAGGAGAAATTATGTTGGCGGCTAACATGTCATCCACAGCCGATTTGACATGGTCATTTTCGGCGGGACTTAACCAAAAAGGATTCTGGCGTATTGGCGCGCTGTCACCTGTATCAATATGGTGACGTAGCAGATGAGTACAGCCCAAATTGTATTTGTTCCGACTGAAAACGTCGGAAAATTCACGCAGTAGTGTTTTAAGTTGTTGACGCTCTAAATTTGACAGGTCCGTCGATCCCGCACAAAGCGCCTCGAGCCACTCTTCATCGCTGTCCGAATGTGGTCGCGGCGCAGGGACAGCGCTTGCGTGGTTCGCGACGGGTTCCTCACAGGGCACCGGCGTTGCGTGAGCAAGCACGGTCCCCTGTGGGACCACCACCGTCTGCGACCCCACATTGAGGACCGCGATGAAGGGATCCCCGTCCCCTCTAACGATGGTCTGTGCCGGAACTAAATGAGGTCCGCTAACCCTGGCCCTAGACGGCCCCAGCAGAAGCCCCTGGGCCCCAATGCCCTTAGCGAAGGGCCACCGAAGTTTTAGAGGTATCAACATTTGTGCCCCCGGCGGTACGCGCACCGTTCTATCTACGAACGCCGGCACCGTCGCGAACGCCGTCCGACTCGCAACGGGGGACGGCAGAAACGCCATGCGTCGGCCCGACGGGAGCTCAATGCAGCCCTGGTCGATTAATATCCTAATCGGCATTTTGGCCAGGAAGTCCGTCCCCAGCAGGCACGGAACCGCCAGCGAGGAGGAGACAAAAATCGGCCCAGACAATTTAATATTACCGATACAAATTTGCGCTCGAATTTGTCCAATGATGCCAAGTGAGCCCCCGTTAGCAGCATAGAATGGCACGTTAACGGGCATCAAAGGACGGCTCTGGACAGGGAGAATATTGTAAATTAATTCCGAAATGATGGTCGCCGATGCTCCCGTATCGACCAGGATGCGCACCTCAACCCCGTCAATGTGCCCCACAACGGCTGACGACCCCGACGATGCGGATACAACGCGATGGGCCAACACGGACCACTGGCTGGGTTCGATATGAGTCCCCACAGTGGTGCGTGTTGGTGCGATGGTGTACAAAGTCGGCCCCCCGTTCGCTACGGTGTGCGAGTGTGTGACGGGTGTGTGCGTGGCCCAAACATGAGGGGTGCCGCGACTCGCCGGGTTATGATGATGGAGCTTGGGAAGAGGGCCGGCGTTCCGTCGAGGTGTCATCCCGCGCTGCCGAGGAGAGCGGCACCCCGAGGCGACATGGCCCCGGATGCCGCAGTTGTAACAGCGCGGGAGCGCCGGCGATGACGATGGATGGTCGAGGTGGCTCGATCCGTCCCGGTCCGCCCGTGCTCCCGCTCCCTGCTGCCGTTGACGGTCGATGGCGCAGATCTCTTCCGCCGGGAGGGTGACTGCAGCCACGGCACGCCCGCTCGCCGCCTTGCTGGCCTTCCGTCGTTGCGAGAGCAGGTTTGCGTGGAGGAGTCGTGCAGCTTGGAGGGAACACATTTCTTCGTCGTCCTGTGCCACGATGACGATATCCAAGTCGTCTGCCAGCAGGAGTATCTTCTCCGTAACCATAGGGTCGACGCCTTCGTTGTCCATCCATGGGAAGGCCGCCTTTGCCAGTGCCAGGAGACTTGTGCGGTATGCCAAGGGCGACTCCTTTGCCCCCCGCTGGCGATCGTAAAAGAGTTGCCTGCAGTCCGACGGTGGCCCGTAGACTGCAGCCAGCAGGTGCAGTGCCGTCTGCAGCGTGGAGCGCTTCTCCTTTGGCGCCGATGTTAGGGTGGCGAGAGAGTCGCCGTGGAGGAGTGCCGGCAGCGCGCGGAGAGCCTCGTCATCCGTCCACCGCGCCATTTCCTGGTGAGCGAGGAAGCGCCGCTGGAAGCTGCCCCAGTCGCCGTCCTCGCCCACAAACTCTTTGAGTGGAGGTAGCCGCTGATGTAACGCAGCGGCCGCCGTGGAAGGTCGCTCTCCCTCGTCCCCCTCACCCGGCTCTGCTTCGGCGCGAACGACCGATGGCATCGCCGGTCGCACCCGTGGTGACGCTCCGTCCGTTGGAGATGACACGGCAGCTACTGTACGGCCGCCGTTGGACGCGAGGCTCAGGCCGGCCACGCCCTCAGCAGCAGCTGCGGCGATGGCGGGAATTTCAAAGTGGTGCTCCGTCGAAATGGTGGGAAGGCGCTGTGGTCGTCGGCTGTCGTCGCCCCGTGGCGGTCCAGCAGCCCCCAGCCGTGTGATGTGGTCGAGCATGGTGGCAGCGGCGTACAGCAGCTCCGCCAGCTTCGCGTGCGCCTGCCTCAGCCCCTCTGTCGACGGCTCCCCATCCTCCTGCTGCTGCGGTGTGGATGCATCCGGCCCCGGCTGCTCGATGCCATCTTCAGCCGTCTCGGGCTCCCCGACTGCAGCGGTGTCCTCCGCCTCTGGTACCCTGACTCGAGTCGTCCGGCGCGTGTCCATGTTCGTAGTTGTTTCACTTCCGACACCAGATGTAGTAGCGTTCACGACTCTTGGACGCCGGAGTTGGAGGCACACGGATTTATTTAACACAGCACGTTCGTGGCATACAACACTACAGGGGGTATCGGCCCCCTCACCCGACTAGCTGAGGATACACGTCCTAGCTACTCCTAGCCTGCCTCCTAGTCCTCCACTAACGGGCTAGGGGAGGCTATCTGGCCCGACACTGGTAAGTCGGGCCCGGTACCCGGAGTTCCAGACCAGCTCTTACAAGAGCACCGGCTCTGGCTCTCGGGACCACACCGCTGGCTCGGTCCTGTTCGGCCCTGATAAGGACGGCGAACCAGGGGAGTCCAGGGCTCTATCTAAGACGTCTTCAGTCTTCACTGGTTAGCTTAACATTTTTCCCTTAGCCCTCCGACACACCCCCTTTTATACCCAACCCCCTCGCTGAGGAGTGGGGCCCCGGGGGATCATAACTCTGAGTCAGCCCCCCAGGGTGCCTGACGCGGACGTCGTAGAGAGCACCTCCCCGTGCACTCACATAGCCCCGCCCACTGTGTTTGTTTGCCATAAGCTCCCATGCATAACGGGCTCTCTCTAACACCCCTACACATAGATAGTGCCGTGTGTGTGGTGGTACTGTAGGGGCAAAGCACGGGTGTTGCTGTGAAGGGGGTCGCACCAGGACGTGACCAGGAGGTGAACCCGAGGGGACACGTGACCGGACGAGAGGGGGCAGGGGGGCTCCAGTGGGGGGTGAGAGGATCACGTGGTGGGGATCGAGAGTCCCCACGAGGGTTCTGGATGGGAGGCGTGGCCAGGGGCGGAGCCAGCCAGGCCAGGGGAGATATAATCGGGGTCCCGGGAGGGACCGGGTTTCAGCCCTGGGAATGAAGTCGCCATCCTTAATCCTCGATCCTGGGTCCTCGATCTCCACGTGTGAACCAGGCAGCCCATTGGCTGTCCGGGTCCGGTGATAGAATAGCCCGCAAGTATTAGTGTAGTTAGCCGTGGTGGTCATCACCCTATGTTAAAATCCTGTTAAAGAATTACCCGTTGTGTTAAATAAAAGTGTTTGCCTCCAACTACAATTCTGCGTCTAATTTGCGCACTACAGATATATAAACATGGTGTTGGTCACCCACCCGCTAGTGCCGTTCCAGCCTTCATAGAAGCTCACTAACAGTACTTACCCAAGCACTCTTTTAAAGCTATATGGGGGGGGAGGGGGGAGGTCTTTGTCTTTATATAGTGACATCGCGGATGTCACTGTATGGTGCCGGCCCTAGAGGAGCACGACGTGCGATGTATTTACATCGCGGACATGAAGTGTGTAGCAAGATCGTGAATGTCGCGGAGTAATGCCGGCTCTAGCAAGGCACGGTGTGTGATGCATTGTCATCGCAGACACCCCATAGGTGGGTGTAGTGCCAGCCCTAGAGGGGGCCTGATGAGCGCTGGGATAGCACAGTGGCACCACGCGTGGCGTGCAGTGCTGACTCCTACCGGAGGGAGTGTGAGAGTGTCAGCCATGGGATGAGGTTACCTTAGGCCATGGCACTCTGGTTGACCCTGGAAGTCACGTAACTAGTAAGATCTACACAGGGGCCCCCAGGTGGTGGCTAAGGGGTGGTCACGTGTCAGGGTAAGATCCTACGGGAAAGGTCGAGAGAGAGATAGAGCTTTTTGGAAGGTGGGCGTGGCCAAGGATGAGGACGGCCACGACCTGGGAGCATATAAACCGGGTCCCCACAAAGACCGGGGTTCAGCGTTGCTACTGTCATCTGAAGATCTATGTTCTACAACCAAGAGAAGAGTCACCAACACGGGGACCTGGACTCACTGGGTTCGGTCCGTCATAGCTAACTCCAGTGTGTTATTGTAGTTAGCCTGGTGGTTCATCACCATAGGTTATCTGGTGAAGGGGAAGTAATCCCTTTGTGTTAATAAATATGTGTTGCGTCCAAGAAGTACGTCTGCGACTCAGTTGAATCCACGACATTTATATAAACTTTTAATTCAGTTGTGAAGAGCTGCTGCATGTAAAGAGTGGATATGCAGCATTTATAATTCTGATGATTATTTTCTATCAAGGAAATCCTCACTGATTCTTCAGATTATTTTCAAACATGATCCTGCATGGGGGTGTATGACTGATACCATTTACGAGAATTTGGCTTAACGTGGAAGGAAACGGAAAATCCCAGAGATAATCCACACCCAATTATGGGGGTGATGCTCAACATTATCATGTCCTTGGCACCTTCCAACCTGAACAAAACGTAAACACCTATCAAACCCTAAGGGTCACCCATCCAGATAGCAACGACAATTAACCCCCATTAGTTTCTGAAATATGAAATTAATATTATTTCGTGTAAGTTGGTCTTCGGCTTATTAAAATAATTTCTCCACCAGCAATAATTATATTAGAATGACTCAAAGATCAGGTCAAAGCACATGCCACCATCTCTACCAGTCACTCACCTTCGTCCGAACATCCGTTCGCTAATTTATAATACATCTTACAGAAATGCAGATGGGTTTGTTGAAAAGTTTTTCTTACATAATGTTGCTTTACCAACTGTGGTGAAGTAGGTTCGAGCAAGCCCCATGACTGTTGTGGTGTGGAGAGGCCTTCATACTCTAGTGAATTGACAAATTACTTCTAATTATTACACGGATTATTACATCTTAATTACCTCCCAAAAACAAGGTCATTATCCACTTCACGCCTGAGGTCTCTGAAGAAGTTGATAGTGGCTTTTATTGCTACATCGACAGCCTTTCCATGTAGCTTGTAGTGCGGTGAAAATGTTTCACGGGAACTGTCTTTGTTAATGCCCCCTTGAGCATTCTTAAATCTTGTGAAATCCAAAAGCCCTCCATGGCTGCACTTCCCTGCAAGAAATGAGCATATGTTTGTAATGTTCTGCACATGTTAAATTAACTTCATTTCAATAATTCAGAATATGTATTAATATTGGAGGAATCTGATGAGCTTCAAAGCAATATTTCACAGATATCCAGTTGGGGCAGGTCAGAACGTTACAACAAACAATCCAAAAACATGATAGGAATGCAAACTACAGGAAATATAAGAACAATTGCTTGGTTGTCATGTAGAATTAAATGGTGGTTTTAGCCCAATCACCAATAACTGTAAAGTTACATTACATTTGTTGTTGCACGAAATATGGTCAAATGTTTAGCTCTCAATGGACTGTCATGCAAAGAACATTCCTTACTCCAGTCACATATCTATTGGGAAAGTGCTGCACCCCTATTACATGTACCAGAGGTTACTTCAAGGGAACTCATAAGTAGCTCCCATGATTTCTACTTTCAAAGGTATTTTTTTAACATGTGTAGTGTAATAGCGCCGTCTGTTGTCTAGCAAAGGCAACTGCGGTGGAAAAGCAGTACACACGCAGGTGAGCATATATGCGGGCGTGTCGGCAGGGCAGAGGAATTGGGGAAAGGGTCATAGAAGACCCAATCTGGAAGCCGCTGGAACCCACTAGTGGGTTCGAGAAGGGAGGCACAGCCAGGGCGGAGCCAGGCCGCGCCAGGTAGCATTAAAGCAGCTGAAAACGGGAGCTCGTAGCTGACGGTTCTGGGAAGTGGACTCATCTCGTCGTCACTGTCGTCTTCATCTTCACTAGATATTGCAAGGCCGGATAACTGTTGGTTGTCTCGGTCGGCGCCATCAGTGTTACACGGTCAGGGTTGTGGTAAGGCTGGGCTGGACATCTACGGAGAGCGTGAGGGCGAACCTGTGAACCTGAAGGTGTTGAATAAAGAAGGTGCTCCTGAAAAACCCTGTCTCTCGCTCCGCTGACATGACAACTGGTGTCAGAAGTGGGGTACGAAAAACCCACCTATAGCGTCATCGGAGGACAGGAATGGCGGAACATTCGTCCCTTCAGCAGCCCCGGGATCCGTGACCCTGGTTACGTAGCCCGTGGGCAGTGGCAGGAGAGCGGCTGCAAATCAGCGGGAGAGTGGCTGCAAATCAGCGGGAGAGCGACTATGCATCAGCAAGAGAGCAGCTGTGGGTAGGCGGGAGAGCTGCTGCGCATCAGCAGGAACGCGGCTGCGGATCGGCAGGAGAGTGGCTGTGCATCGGCGGGAGAGCGGCGCATTTCTCCGCGGTCACGCGCTGACCACTTCGCATGGCCGAGGACCACCGCATCGAGGGTAGCATGGGACAGCGTGTGAAGCATACCGTGGCCAGCGGCATGGAGAGGAGTCACGGAAGAACCCCAAATGGAGTTCCTGTCAGAATGGGAGCTTGAGGAGCCAGGGCCAGAAACCGTGCAGATGGTGGGCGCTGTTTTGCCCATGGAGGTTCTGGAATGGCCGGCAGGCACCATTTTGAGGAGAGCGCGGGACTGCATGGGAGAGGCGCCAGAGTCGGTGGCACTGCAAGGGGAATTGTTGGCCTGCCATGAGACGCCCGCATGAGGTTGCTCCAGCGGAAGCGAGGGGAGGCCGAGATGCTTTTTGTTTTCCGGGAGGCACTGCTGGCGCTGGGACGGAAGGCATACCCTCAGATGGGTGAGGCGGCACTCGACTCCCTGGCAGCAGAATGGCTACGGGCGCTGGTGCAGGAGTTGGAGATTGCCCTGCCCTTCGCCGAAGACGCAGGAATCTCATCTCTAAAGGTTGCCGAAGAAATTCAGGGCCACGAGGCCCGCCAGCATTGGCCTAAAGTAGAGGCTTGGCCATGGTGGGTGGAGGACATGATGGCTGTGGTGGGTGGCCGGGGGACGCACGGGACAAGGTCCCCATAGATCGAATGGCAACCGGGGCAGCCCCCTCCACCCTGGGGTCCCATGGCTAAATGTTTCAGGTGTGGTCAGCTGGGCCACATCGCGGGCAGTACCACCGATGCCCTCCAACCCACCGGCAATGTCTTTCCAAACTCTGCGGATCTGAGTCTCTGATATTTTCCGAGACCGCCATTTGCGAAATGTCGGGGGCTGGATCCGAGGGGGGGGGGGGGGGGGCTATGGGGGAATCCAGGAAGGGGCCGCGCATTTTATTCCATTGCTTTCGTTCCCGTTCCTTGGAATCCCAAAGACGCAATACCCTGCAAAGGTGGGGGTGTCTGGTGTTAAGGACCGGCTCACGCGAGCTACGTCCGGTAAAGGCGAACTCTCCCTTCCAAGGTTGGATTCGGGGGGGGGGGGATTGTGTATTTTGTTGGGTTGCGTTGTAAGTTCGTGCGGGGGGCGGGGGGGGGGGGACATCGCGGTTGTGCGGTCCCTGACGGGGTTCTTTGCCCATTCTGCATTTGTGCTGCGTGTTGTCAGTTCGATGGGGGGCGACGCGGTTGTGTGGTCCCCAACGGGGTTCTTTGCCACGCCACGATTGTGCCACATATTATCGGTTTGCAGAAGGCGCCGTGGTTGTGTTGTGTGGTGATGGATCGCGGGAGGCGCCGCGGTTGTACTGTGCGGTTACGGGAAGGGTTGCGACCGGGGTTTGTAATGGGCGGTTGGTTTATGGTAAAAAGTATTTTTTCTTTTTTAAGTTGTGTTGATGGTGTTCCTCGGGGTTGAGGGTTGCTCTGCCTATTCGCCCACTTGCTGTTGCTTGATATCAGCTGGGATGGCTGTTTTATTTAACAAGGGGGGAGGGGGTGATAGGCCGGATAGTTGTTTGCTGTCTCGGTCGGCGCTGTCGGTGTTACATGATCAGGGTTGTGTTAAGGCTGGGCTGGACGTCTAGGGAGAGCACGAGGGCGAATCTGTGACCCTGAATGTGTTGAATAAAGAAGGTGCTTCTGAAAAACCTTGACTCCCGCTCCGCTGACACTACACATATATGGTTTCATTGCTCCTCTCTACTGCATGTCACTTTATTAATTGGTGTGAAACATAAAAAAAATACTCTTACGGTTGACATACCACTTACATTTTCCTTCAGGCTTTTTGATAAGTTCACTCTCGATGTATTGAGATGAATAATATCCACTTGTAAGAAGACGATTCGCATTTATTTCAGTCCGAATATTGTCTGAGCATGTTGATCCGCAGTTTGTGCACGTGGGCACATCAGGACCTAAAGTAAACACACATACAAACACTGGCAAAAAATTTCTAAATCACGTGCAAAAAGGTGAGCGAATTCACACACGGACACATACCCTCGCAATAAAATATTGTCAGTAGAAATGAAGTGTCGAGATTGCACAAACTAAGAAATGAGACCATAACAAAAACTCGGCCGGGGGGAGACATATGAAAATGTAGCCAGTGTAGGCTTACCTGTAATGTGTGGATTTCTCAAACTGCCTATTTCTCTCTCTAAAATTTACCAGGCTCTCATAGGTCCATTCACTCTTTCTCTCCCCCGGTCGCTGCGGGATGGATTTCCACACAACTCTCTCTAAATTTACCAGGTTTGTTGGGTCTTTCTCTCCCCCGGCCACCGCAGGGTGGATTTCCACACAGCTCTCTAATTGACATGCTAATTTATCTGCTCAAGCAGCCCCACCTCTCTCTTTGCCCCACCCCCATGTCTCTCTATTTAAGGCCTCGGCACAGAGGCGTTGGGTCTCTGTGTATCTATGGTGTGTCTCTCTCTCTTGTTCTGTGTCTCTGTGTTGTCTCTCTCTGCTTGTGTCTGTATGTGTGTCTCTGTGTCTGTGTTTCTAAGTTCACTAGGTTTGTTTTCTACCTGATGACTATTTCTTGTGTTGCAATCGAAACCTCGCATTCTATTAATAAATTTATTTTCTTTCTACGTGACTTTACCGAAAGAACCAAAGAGTGTATTGTTATTGTTGTCAATTTAGTCAACCTTTCCCCCCTCGCAATAATTCGCGATGGGAGGAGAGGGGACAAAGGTATGCCAAATGGAAGGAGCAACAATAAGTAAAGGGCGACCATACAAGAGATGGATTCACGGTATAAAAGAGGTTTGCTTAAAGGAGGGTTTAACATAGATAAATGTAGGCCTATGGGAAGCGACTGCCATGACCAAGTGAAAGGAGTAGAAGGAGTAATTTGTCTAGCCTCATTGTCAGCCACCATGTGACTACTGGCAGAATAGAAATGTTGGGATATTACACGTTAAATAGATGCCTTTCAACAGAGGTACAACTAGGGGATAAAAGCAGAAACGTTAGTAAAAAGTACAGTGTGCAATACAATTGTGGTGGGCTCAACTGAGTCGCAGATGTACTTTTTGGAGGCAACAGATTTATTAAACACCAACACTGGTTAAAACGATAACAACCTAAGGTGGTGACCACCAGGCTAACTACACTAATTACACAGTAACTAGCTACAAATGACCAGACCCCAGCTTGGGTCCATGTCCACATATTAGAGACTCTTCACGGACGTAGAACGTAGGTTTCTTCAGGATAACAGCAGGAGGCGGTCCCGCTGGGGGACCCGGCTTAAATCCTCTGTGGCGGAGCTCAGTCTGCCCTTCGCCATGACTACCTAGATTTCTTGAGCAGGATCTCGACCTGGACATGTGATACCGACTAGCCCCATTTTGGGGGCCACCCCTGTAGACACAACCAGTCACGTGTCCTCCGGGGTCAACCAGAGGGCCACGGCCCCTTGTAACCCCATTCTATAACCGGCACTCTCGAACCCAGTCCTGTAGGGGCCGGCACTGCACGCAGAGCGTGGTGCCATCCATCACTGTAAGTCAGCGCTCACCGAGCCCCGCTCGGGCCTGGATTGCATCAACATTCAAGTGGTGTCCGCGGTGTCAATAAATCGCACGCCGTGCCTCTCCCACGCCGGCCTCACACAGTGACATCCAACGATGTCACTACATTACCCCCCCCCTTCGTAGCACTCAGCCATCCCGGCTGTCAACCCCCCCTTAAGATTTGAAGCTTTCGTGACTGCAAGGATTCATACTCTTTGGTTTTTGTCGGTAAAGTCACGTAGTTAAAAATAAAAATAAATGAAAAATCAACTAAATTAAATCACGACGTTTCGGAGGTAACACAAGCTTCCGTCTTCAGGTGGAACCGTCACAGCAAAATTACTGTATCAAGTGAAGACAGCTCTAAGAGACACGAGATTATATATAGGTTAAGAGGGGGGGGGGGTGAGACAGGATGGGCCGCGGGGCGGGGAGTGATGAGCTGGTGACATCATTTTTAAATCCTTCATATTAAGTTCGCTTGCTTGCTTAGGACCGTGCAAATCTTTCAGTCGTTTTTTAACCCACTTCCCGTGATCCAATCGAGCTGACATTTTGCACACAGACTCGTTGTGCGTGACAATGCATTTTCGTGAAAAAAAATTTTTTACACTGTTTAGGGGAAAACAAATATTTAATTACCTATTGTTTAATGCTGCCAGACAATCATCTGACCCATAGGTGGCAGCCATCTCAAGCCAAAGGACGAGAGGACTCTAGCCGCCCCGATGCCACGCATATAAAGGATTTATAGTGAAAAACTTTGTTTTTACGGGTTTACTTGTTTATGATCCAGAAGATGGCCAGTGAGTTAAAACGGGGATGGAATTTAAGCTGCATGGGATTAGGAGGTTAGTAGGAGGTTAAGGGATGCGGTTGAGCTGGGAGGAGAGGAGGAGTACGGATGGCCCGAAGGTGAGCCGTGTGGAGTTGGGGGGGGGGGCGAAAGTTAAGCTAATAAACTGGTTGCCTTGCAGTAAACTGCAGTAAACTACAAGGCTGCTAAAGTTTAACTTGGTTAATAACATCCTTCCAATGATTGCTCAATTTGAATCCATCCTCTCGGTTGAAGTTATGTCTATGTTTGTGTATCTCTACACGGCACTATACAATACACTACCGTACTATAGACTACTAAACATTCTACTATTATACACTCCACAATACACTACAACACTATACTCTACACTACACTATATACTACGCTAATATAGACTGCTATACACTACACTATTATACAGTACACAATACACTGCTATACACTACTATACACTACACTATTATACTCTACTATACGCTATATTATTATACACTACACTATACACTGCTATAAGCTATGCAATACACTACTATAAACTTTGCTACAAAATATTAAAACACTACACAATACACATCTATACCCGAAACACTACTATAGACTCCTATCCACTATACTATAATACACTACACTATGCAGTGGTATACATTCCACAATACACTACACTATATACTACAGAATACACTACACAATACACTAATATACAATACACTACTATACACTACACTATACACTGGTATACACTACACAATATACTACCATACACTAAACTACTATATACCACAGAATACACTATACTATACACTACTATACAATACACTACTATACACTATGTGAGGGCCGTCGGCCCCCGGGGTCTCCCCCGCCTGTGACCCTGGCCGAGCAGTCCCGTCGCCCGCAGACTTTCCACTAGTGTGAGCGCTGCTACCACTGTGCTCATCACTGGGTAGAGAAGGGTTGCCGCGCTCCGGCTCCCCTCCCTGGGCCAACCCCCCCCCCGCCCCCCCGAGTCCGCGTGTCCTGCCGGTGAGGCATTGCTCCCGACCGCCTGGATACCCGCTACGGTTTCACCGGCAATCGAACGCGACGCCTCCACTCGCGCAGTCCCACGCACCAATCACACGCGCGGATCGAGGGGTCAGGGGTCGAAGGCAAACTACGTCACTCGTGCCCACGCCACCGATTGGGGGATTGTATTAAATGAGTTTAAAGGGCTGTGGGGTGGGCACGCGTGCCGGGTGTTTATCCGCGCGCAACGTGGGAGTCCGCAACCGCGGGTTTAGAGCACACACTCGCGGGGCGCCGACCGCACGCGATCCGGCAAGCACACCTACGCCACCACGCTCATTCCACACACTCGCAAGAATCACAACAGGTTGATATTTACTCGCGGGCCCCAACCATACGCGATACGGCAAGCGGACACCCGCTCGCACGCTCTTCCCACACACCCGCAAAGACCACATCAGGCTGTTATTGATCCTAACGATTTATTCCCGGCGTATTAGCGAACCCCTATTACCCGAGTCAGTAGGAGTCAGCAGGGCAGGACCACTCTATCTCTTGGTTGTCGGGAATCTTAATTTACCTTATCCCTCTGAACTTAAACTTCCCAGGTTTTTAAACGAAGTCCCACCTCCCTCTCTCTCTCTCTTACTCACTGTTAGACGCTCCTGTCGGCTTGTCCTCGCAGCACGTCGACACGTCGCACGGACGTTCGAGTGGCTGGACTAGGGAGTTGACTGGAGAAGAACTCCCCTATGCCTCCTTCACCCCTCTCTTTATTCCCCGCACCTCACAGGGGGTGCCGCTCCGCTGGCCAATCAGAGCGCTTCACCTGTCCTCTGGCTGGCTTCGGGCGGTTAGAATCCGGTTAGCGCGACGGATTGCGTCATCTCATCGAACAGTGGGCAGGGCCCCGTTTTCCCGCCATTCGTTTGTGAATTGCGTCATCTCATCAAACAGTGGGCGGGGCGCCGTTTTCCTGCCATTCGTTTGTGGATTGCGTCGTCTTATCGAACAGTGGGCGGGGCCCCGTTTTCCCACCATTCGTTCGTGGCTCCACCCCTATTCTGGCTACGCTTTCCTATCTGCCCCGCCGATCCGTGTGTGTGGTGCGTGTCCTAACCGCGGTGGCTGGGCAGCCCCGTCGTGACCATGAAAGTTCCACTCGAGTCACGACACCGCGGTGTGTGTTAGCGTCGGAGGAGACCGTCTAATTCCCTGGCTGCAGGAAACCATGAAGATTATCTCTATACGATGGCTTCTGGGTGAAAACCCGTCAGCCAGGGGATCTCCCCTCGTGCTCTATGTGTGGGGGGAATGCGTGAGTGTGTGTTAAGGTGGGGGTGGTAAGGGGGAAGCAGCGTCGACCTCGCTGCTCGGGGGCAGCGAGATCGTAGGTGGGGCACCCACCGATCGGCTCCGTGGCGGTGGCATCACAACTACACTATACATTACTATAAAATACACTACTATACAATACAACCAGAGAGTAAGTTTAGCCGATTAATAACCTCCATTGTTATGCTGCAGGGGAGTAAACTAGGGCTGCTGGGTAAAGTACTATGCT